GATTGTGATCAGGAAAAGATACATGACAAGAGTCTGGGATATTGGAAATATTCTATTTCTTCATCTGGCATAGGATATTTGCTTTTTTCTTATGTTAAAATGTACATTTGTTTTATGCACTTTTCTGAATGTTTTTATATTTCAAAATAAAAAATGTAAAAATAAAATCTAATGAAACGTATTTATTCATACTGGAAAAACCATCTAAACCAGAGATTCTTTACTTGGGGTCCAAACACCCAGTAAGAATGGTTTTTAGGGGGTCTGTGGATCCCTGATACTGTAAACAAAAGTATGTATCTATGCACATGTACAATATTTGAGACACAGGTCCAAATCTTTCATTAGATTCTCAAAAGAGATCTACAGACACAAAAGTGTTAAGAACCATTAAGCTATAAACTGTTGTGTACTGTCAGAAACCTTTATTATGATAACTTTTCCCCTTATGTATTTGATGTCGATTACATTTACATTACTGAAGACACAGAAGTCCTTCAATAAAAAATCTATATACTTGTAATTGTGGCCTTAAGAGATATTAAAAAGTTCAAGGTGAAAAAATATGCGAATGTGGAAAAAAACAGCAGAAATAATTGTGTGGCAAAAATATTTCTTTCTTCTTCAGCATGAGTTTTCTACTAAATAATATGTTTGCTCATTGATTAATCCATCATGTTTCACATTATGCAGAGAGGCAAAGCTTCATTCTTGAATGTCTGAGGTCCATGTGCTAAAACCATTGCATAATGCAGATGAGGTGAAATAAAGTATGAGCCATATTGTAACTATGGAGACTTGAAGAAGGTGATGAAAAAGAATATAAAATGATTAAAGGAAAAAAGATAAAACTCAAAATTAGAGAAGGTGTTGTTGGGTTCTTTCACCAAGATACACTTATCTTGTTGTTAGCAGAAATATGACAACAAGAAATAACACACATCATGTTCTCAATCCAATAGATGAAAATGTGGAAATTACTTTAGACCACACATCTCATGACTGACTGTACCAGCTTTCACACAAGATGTTTCACAAAAGGTATTGTTCACATTTCTGATCTTTCTAAACTTTACAACCTTCGGGAACTAAAAGTATTCACATCACATGCGATATTTCTCAAAGTTTCAGAGCTCATCCTTTCTTAGCATTTTTCGCATCTATAAAAAATTTTAAAACATGTTGAATAATCATATATTTCACTACAACTCTAAATCTATCACCTTTGCTATGAGAAGAATGAGAGAAACTCTGTAGACATACATGTTATTTCCAAAACTAGGATTACCTCAGCATCTTTCCTTACTACTTTTTTTCAATAACCAGTGACCCAAAAAACAAAATAGATTTCAACAAAACTGCAGCTCTGCTGGTTTCTGAGGTAAACAGTATGTTATAAACTGAAGTAAACTAAAGTTAGAAGTAATTTTGGGGCCCCCTTTCAGAATACATTCTGATCACATGCTCACCACACATGTAGTCTCTTCATTTAGACATCGATAAGCATATTTTTTAAAAAAGAACTTTTCATTTTGATACTGAAGTCAACTCTTGTAAAATAATACGTATATATAAAATCAGTGAATCAGTTGACTATACCTAGGTCAGAATCATCATCCTGTTACATAATAAAGAAAATACTTGAGAGAGAAGAATTCACTATGGTAATGTTTCTAAAAGCTCACTGGGTGATTGAAGGGAATGGCCCCCATCATGTATTAGGAAAAAAGAGCAGCAGTGCCCTCAGAATCATTCTAAGAACTTTGTAAAAACCCATGAATATTCCAGTTTGTCACTACCTAATTGAACGTTGCCTATTTTCAGAACTCATGATATAATAAATTGTGTGTGACCCACGCTTTGTGAATACAGATATGAAATGGAATAAATCATATGAAAAATATTTTAATCCTCAAGTAAATCAACTTAATAATGTGATACCTGCCATTGCTTAGTTAGCATAAAGTTAATTTGGAAAATATCCATTTAAATGGGGAAGTTTAAAAAGTTTTGTTGAATCAATACCTCAATATGATCCATTGCTTTCTGCCATACAGACTGCTTCTCCTCTGCACTGTGTCCAGGAATGGATAAGATATTGTGAATATAATTAAAAACGTCCTCCTGAAAAGCCCAAGACAATATAATTTATTCATTCATTCACTCACTCAAGCAATATTTAGTCACTATCTACAATCTGTATCAGTCTTGGTAAGTATTATTTGGAGATGGAAAACCATGTGGAGATAGTTACTGATGGAAAAGTAACACCAAAGAGAAAGAGTAATTTTTTAAAGTTTAAGGTAGAATCTTAGAAGTTACAAACCTATTCCAATTAATTTTTACCTCAATTTATTAACCTTTATTGACCTAATGAAGGAATATCATACTTTTGCTTCAAGTGGTCCTTATTCACATTCCCAATTTAATTTCAAATCACTCTTGCCCTTGTCTATTATGCTCCACCTATACTGATTTTCACTTCATCTATACAATCTCTATTCAGTTGAACATGTCAGTTTCTTCCCCACCTAAGGGCCTC